GAAATAAAAAAGAATTCCCCCCCCCCCCCACTTTCCTTACTCTCAATCAGCAGGCTATTGGCTTTCGTGATTTAATCACACTAGCAAAGTCCTCAAAATCCACTTATGTTCCCACAGTATTCAGAGTACAGTTAAGACCAAACTGTCATCAAAAGGTCTCCAACTAAACCGTGTTGCTTGATTAGTGCCTCATACACAAAGCTATTTAAATATCTTAAGCTTGATTTGAACCTGCTACTGGCGATAGGCTTAATAACATTCAAATAGTTTGAAGATCTTCATCCCTAGGGAGTGGAACTTGACACTCACTTTCCTGCAGGCAGTTTGATATTTTCTGCATTCCCTTCACAGGCAAATCTCCAAAAGAAGCATGAGGAACAAAACATTTTTCTAAGTTCACATAGCAAATGCAAAACGAGAAACAGAGCTCAAACAACTGAGCTTTAAAACAGCTCTTGTTTATTTGTGTCTGTGTTTCTTCAAAACTCTTCTTTAGCTTTTTAGCAAAAGTGTAGCAGGGTGCAAGCACTGCATGAAATTGTTCATTTACAGGGATGATTCTGTGCTTCAGTGTTTGTTCCTTGTACGGAAGTACAAGCCATAGTGACCAAAACATGAGAGAGAGGAACTGGGACTAAGCACTCCAATATGCACTTTCTAGAAATACCTCTCTGCCCTACATTTATTGTGTCCTCTCTCCTTAGGAAAAAAAGCTGTATTTTGAGTGCTCTACAACTCTGTTAAGGGATCAACTGAAATTTTCCTTTACAGTTCTTTGTTGATTCATTTTTTTTGACACCTGGAGGCTGCTTCCTGTTTAAAATTCAGACTGATCTAATGTTTTAAGGGTTACCTCTACTTAAAAGATAGATTTTGTTTTCATTTCTGTTCTGTATTCTCTGATACAATACTATTGCAAATAGATGATTCAGGAAAGCTTTCTGAGGAATTGAAGTTTCAGATTTCAACAGATTTCACATACAACACATTTTTCCAACTTTGTGACGATCATCATAGATTTAAGTCCATACTTAGAAGAGGAGCAGAACTGTGGATTCTGCGTTACAGTGGGAATGATATTGAGACTGAGTGTGATTGAGACTGCTGCTGCCTGGAGCAATCAGGAGTGCAGAAATTGTACTAGGACATCCACATGGAGATCCTTGAAGCCATGTTGTAGTCTGATAACAAAGGACACTGAAATACTTCTTCGTCCTGTGGGAGAGCTCTGTCAGTGTTGGACTCCTCTGAAAATCCCGTACTTCTAAACAGTACCTCAGCCTGCTAGTGAATTGATGTGGGTTTGGCCCATAACCTTAAATTAATCCCACTTAGAAGTACCAAAGCGCTGAAACACTATTGAGAAGTTCTGGCACATAGGCTTGAGTTGTGGAAACCGATGCAGTGATGTCAGTTGGAGTTTCGCCACTGTTTTTGACGTGGCCAAAATTTAACTTCAGCTGTGTTACAGGTCAGAGCAGAGCATGTTTGCAAAGTTGCTTCAGCATCTGCTTCCCTGCCATCCCTCATGCTATTCCAGGCTCAAATTAGTTCTAAACTTAGAATTCACTCAGTCACACGAATGCTGAAGTAATAATAAAAGATATTTTGTAAAGATAAACCAAAGTGAAGATTGATCTTGTGATAAAGGCACTGATTTGGGACTTAAAAGATCCCAGTTCTAATTCCCAATTTGGTCATAAATCTTCTGTATAAATTTGTAAGACCACTTGGCCTCAGTTTCTTAATTGTAAAATGAGGGTAAGTTGAACTTTCTCCTTTGTCTGTTACACCATGAGCTTTTCAGAGCATGACCAGCATGACCATGCATACTAAGTTTATGTGAAACATGTAAGAAGACAGACATCTCGGGGTGTTGGTTTTTTTAATCCATTATAAGAAAGCAGTAATAAGCAACAGGTCTGGTCATCTGGAGAATCAGATCTTACCCATGTCTCTGTTCCATAGAGATGAAAACTTTTCAAATTACTTAGCCAGATTAATGTCTAATGTAGATGTATTTCCTAGCCCATAATAAAAATTATGGTACTATATAATAAAACCCACAACTTCATTGTAATAACATATTATGGGAAATGAGATTAATGCAAAAAACTGTATCAAGAATGAAATGTCAGAAGCCCCTGTTAAAAATATATAAATTCTACCACATAAAAGTCTTATAAGTATTTCCAGGGAGCTTGGGAAAAAAGGCAACGTGAAGATGATATGTTTACTGTGTGTGAAATTAAACTAAACAGAACTTTCTTTTCTAGGTCACATGAATCAAAGAAATGAAACAGACAAATGGATTAAGGCTGACACACAAAATGGCAAAGTGTGTCTTAAAAGCCAAAGCTGGATCCAGTCTGTCAAGCTGAAGAGTTCTTAAAGGTGAAATAGGCCAAAGAGATTAAATCAAGAAATTGTAAAGGAACATTTCTGTAAAATTACGAAACTTTGTTGATGTATATTCTTAATGTAAGAGAGTAACAATATTAAAAATGAGGGCATTTTAACCCAAGATTTGCCCATGACAGTGGCTGGTGCTTAACAGGTCTGGTTTACTTTTAGTGCCTTTTAGGAACGACAAGATCTTGCATATTCAGAATTTGTATAACTTAACCCACTTACCACATCAGTTTAAAAGCTGGTAGCTTTCAAACAAAAGTTTGGAGTCGTCATTTAAAAATAAAAAGCATTTTCCACATCTGGTATTTGAAAATATGAAAATTTACTTCCAAGATGACATGGTCTGCAAGCTATTTTGTATTTTTAAATTAAATGTCTCAGTACTGTGGGAATTCTGCTGGTTTATGCAAAATGCAGAGAATTTTCTTCAACCAAATTATTTGTATCAATGATAGGATAAAACCACTTTCAGGACTGTAGTTCTTATTTGGTCTTCTCATTTGGTGGTTGACCCCTAAGCAGTTTTTGCCTTGTCAATGGGCACTGTATGTGTAAAACTACTTATATGAAATGACAGAACTTGCTCCATGTCATCCTGAACCACTTATTTGTGGATAGAAATAAGAACTCTAGCTATGTCTATCACTGTTCGTCTGCGAAGAAAAACTTTTAAAGTAAATACTCAAAAGTGCAATGGGTCTGGCTGATTTCAAGGAGGAACACTCCACTAACTGGACTTCAGATAAGGGTCCATATGAGCATTTCCCTAAAGTAAAAGCTACGAAAGAATGGAAGTATTGGCCTAATAAATGAGAACTGTAATCTGTTTATTTGAGCCATTTCCAGTGACTTACCGTCAGCCTTGCATGATGGGACTGTAAGCTCTTTGAGGCAGAAAGGCAGAGGAGGGAGGTGAGGGAAATGTGTCAGCCCTGCACAAGGGCATACATGATTTTTGTGGACTATTTTGTGTTACCGTAATACAAACACACATTAAAGTAAATGGAGATTTTAAAAGCTGTTCCATATATATATATATTTCCCCTTATAAAAGAAGGACATAAATTTGTGTTTTAAAACTGAAATGTAAGAATTCCTGCTAACTGAGTGGATGGAGAGTAGCAAAGAAGAGTTCAGAGTGTCAGCTCAGGTTTTAAGTTGTGTATATGTGCTTTAGATCATAATGGTATGTTATCAAATGAACTTCTCGTTTCTCACAGGATTACCCAAGAGGTATAATTGCCCCTGGCTAATGGACTTCAGTAGTCAAGGGCAGCATTTTTACTATAATTCAGGGTGGTTAAAAACTCCACATTCTGTTTGCCGTTGTGTGTACTGTTTGTTTGGATGAGGTGGGCACTGATGTGTATGGCAAATTATATGTATTTTTAATATAAACATTATATATATAAAACATTACTAATATTATTACTAAAAGCAATATGATATTACTAGTTATTAGTAATTACTATCATTATACTACTTCTAAAAGATACAAAAATTAATAAATGTGTAATGGTTTTAGATTTCCTGAAAAAATTTTGAGACTAATGATTTCTGTGCACTGCTGCAGACAAAGTGAAAGAAGCACCTCTAAATTCACACTGCATTGAAAATAAAAACAGAGTAGTAGATATTTCACAAAATTGAGTCCATTTAATGGTTCCATTATTCACCTGGACTACAAAGCCTGTCAGCGTCTGCGATTAAGGTTGTGCTTTTTGGAACTGCTGCATCAGCAATGTAAGGGAGAGCATAGTAAGAAAACATGTTATTTCTTCCATGCTCAAAAGTAAGCAAGCTAAGGCATTCACATTCTAAACCTAGCTGGAATTAAACATTAGGATTGGTAGTAATTTGCTTAAAGAAGTTTAAATAAGCCATCGGAAAAATTGTGCTACCACTAAAACTACTCTGATTATATTCTTTCCAAGCTAATAAATGTTGAGACCAGCTAGAACTTTAACATAAAGGTCAGGAATGAGCTGAAGAAAGACAAATCTTCGGGAGTTTCCCCAAAGGCATTTGAGTAATGTCTTGTTCTGCTATAATGAGGTGAAACTTTGTATTTTTCTCCAGACAAGGGAAGATTAGCAGGTTATCAGTAATTAGGATTTGAATGGCAAATCCCACATGTGTGGGTTTTTTTTTTTTTTTTGGCCATTTGATGAGAAGACATGTTCTTGTAATGGAGGAAATTTATCCTTTAACACTTTTCTCATCTGTGCTCCTTTTCATTTGATTCTCCGTACTCTCAGCTGCCAGCTAGTCCACAGTTCATACATGCAAATGTAAACATCAGCTCTCTTAGAAAGTTGAACTCAGCCTGAGTGCCTTTTATGAGAATTAGGGCTCTGGGTGCACAAGGACTGTTGAGAAGTAGAGAACTGTGTTTAAATGAGCATGTATAGTTGTGTATTAAGGAATCAGTAGTCACTACCTATTCACTGTTCTTCATTGCTCAAGAACACTGTACTTAATAAGCACCAGCCATGTCAAGTGTGAAGTTCTGTGGGAAGTCAGAGTGTTTATGTCCTGGAGAGGACCTTCATGGCAAACAAGAACTCCAAACACACACAGATTTTTTTATTGCTTACTCTGCATGGGACTACAAAAACTTCTCATTATTGAAAGATGAAGACAGCTTGAATCAACATCTGAAAGTTAGCAATGTTGTTTCAGTGCAGCCGTCTTGCTTGAAGGCGCACGCACTCCTGTGAGAAAGATTCACAATGCTTCCTTTACTAATTCAACAACCGGCCTTTTATTAAAGTATGATTAGTCTTAAGAAAAATAATATGGTGTTCTTTTCATGCTCTAGTGAAAAATCCTTGAGCTGTAGAAGATGTTGTGCAATTTTTTCATCTTTCATTTTGAAGAATTTGTTTATTCAGGCTCTAATGTGTGTTTTTTGGTGAAGGTAAGTATGTTACCATCTTGGTCATATCCCAGCCAGGAAGGAGGGTCAGTATCGTTATGTTCTTGGTTCTCCAGTTTGGCTGTATATTTCAAGACAGCTTGTCTGCAACAAGAGTTTAAAAAAAAAAAAAAAAGAACAAAAGTAAAAAAAAATTTGCAGAGGCTGTTTCTACAAAGAACACTAAAAGCTGTTTCATGAGCAAAAGTTCCTTGTTTTAACTGAAGCTATCAATATTATAAGAGGTGTTGTGGAAGTTAAAAAAGAAGATAGTTGGTTAGGCCATAAAGTAACAGAATAAATTAGGTTGGAAGGGGTCTCTGAAGATCGTTTAATCCTGGTCTTGCTCTAAATGGATCCAACTAGACCAGGTGGGTCATGGCTTTGCCAGCTGAGTTCTGAATATCTCCAGGGATGAAGATTGCATAGCCTCTCTGGGATCCTGTTCAAGTGTTTGACCAGTCTCCTGATTAAAAAATAGTTTCCTTGTATGTAATCAGAACTTTACATATGCTGCTTATCCTGTCAGTGCACCTTTGAGAAAAGCCTGGCAATGTCTTCTCTTCTGTATCCTCTGGTCAGAGTTACGGACAGCAATAAGGTCTCCCCCAGCCTGAGCCTTCTCTTCTTGTGACTGAGCAAAGCAATTCCTTCAGCCTCTCTTTACACGTCACGTGCTCCAGCCCTTTAATGGTCTTGGTGGCCCTCATCTGCACTTGCTCTAGTGTGTCAGTGTCTGTCTCGACTGGGGAGCCTAAAACACAGATCTTTGAGACCGAGTAGGCGATGCCATTGGAGTAATAGCACTGTATTTTGAAGAAAACGTAACGCCAAACAAGGTAAATAAACCAGTTGCATCAAAAGATATCTCACAGTCTCCAGAGTGGTTTTTCTCTGCTATACAGGAAGGCTACGGTAACTGTGCAGGTCCCTATCTCTATTTTTTCCTTTGAACAGTCTCTGTGGCACCTCCCAGTATTTTTACCCTTTCGTGGTACACCTTCTGCTTTCTTTTTGGCTAACCTCTCCACTTGTAGTTATCTTCTGTCACCCACCTCTTTTTAAAATACATTGTTTCTGAAACTGAATTGAATACGCAACGGGCAGTGTTACAGAGCCTTACTGTTACCTGCACTGGCCCCGAGCTTGCCCCAAGGCTGTGTTTTGCAGCTTCTGTGAGAGCTGAACCAGAAGAGAATTGCTTATGATGTCCAAAACCACCCATGACCCCTCTGATCTCCCTCAGCATTTTGTGGCCACTACCCCTTTGCAGCATTAGAACACAAAGACAGCGAACTAGAGCAAAATGACACAGAAATAGGAGAAAATCAAGCTTGCTGAGTGAGACACCCTAAGAAGAAGCTGAAGAGCAACTCTCTCCTCTCCCTCCTTTCCAGGCAGTATCAGTCCAGCAACTTTCATTGCCTTCCTGAGCTGAAGAAACTCGACCCGCCACTTTCAGTCTTTTGAATGTCTCTCTCTTTCCATCACTTCTGCGACTTGGCTGTCAGCCCGCTCCCGGCTGCGCAGAGCACCCGCCTCCCCCGGCCTCCCCCCGTCTCTGGCTCTTGCACTCCAGAAAGCTCCCCCGGGCTGAGCGTACTCATGTGCTCGTTGGGGAAGAGCCAGTGCTCTACATTTCCCATCCTCTTCAGGAGATTCAACCTGATCTGGTGTGTCACAGCCGCAGCAACGTAGCTTTTCTCCCTGCTGGCCAACTTCCTAAGCTCTGTACCAATATAATATATGGCATCTAGACAATACAAGGAAAAAAGTCCAAATTAAAGTGGTCTGTTATCTGCCAGTAATGCTACAACAGTATTTTTTTTTCCCCAAAGTGAAAACACTGAAGATGGTTACAAAAGAGACAGACGTGCACAGCTGTAACCTTGCACCACCACCGCAGGGAAGGGGAAGCGGGGAGGGGGGGAAAAGGGACAAAACTGGTGAAGCAAGGAGAGCTCCTTTCAACCACTGCAGGGTACTTTTTTTTAAAATCTAACACTGACACACTGTATGAACCACATGAACACAAGGCTGTATCTGTTTTTATATTAGGGAGGCCTGTGCCATTCAGGAATGTGTGCACAATTTATATGAGCTATAAGGTCTAAGCTATAAAATAAAAATCATCTCATCCAAGTCCAAATTCCTGTTTTTCATGGAAACTGCAATGTATGGCGGCTGTCTGAAACATGTATAAGGGGAGCTGTTACTATTTTTTTGGAAATTTATGCTGTCCCATGCCTGGAACTACAGTTGATTGGTTTGCCAGAAACAGCCATTCATTAATCATCAACACATGGCAAAATAGATATACTGTACTATGATATAGCCTGCTTATTTATTTATATAGTATCTTAAATGAGCACATTCATGAATAAAAGCATTTCAGCAAATAATTACAATTATCTTTGGCAAAGCAAATATCTCTTGGTGTAAGTCAGACAAAAGTATTGGCCCAAACACATGGCTTGAGTAGCACTGGAATATATCATTGAATCCTGACCCGACGTTTCAATCCCTTTTCCTAAGAGGGGGTAGCTAGGAAATACAGTTCTGCATCACAGTCTGAATCCTGAGCCATTCTAAAATTCAGAAATGTTTGACTAGGTCCATCATAATAAAAAGCAGAGGTTTTGAAAAGGACTTTTTGAGATGAGGTTACAAAAAACAATCAAGAATAAAAAATAATGGAAAATAAAAACTTAAACATGGGAGAACTGTTTATAATGCAAATGCAGGAGAAATTAAGCTGAAGAGGCAAGGGAGGCAGCTAGTGGGAAAAGCAGAAAGCATCCTGCAAGCATGCTCCAGGTTACAAAAAGTGGTAAGACTATATAAAATCTGAAGTATTCTGCGGTCTCTGTCAGCTGCAGTAGTTGCATCATTTTATGGCATCCAGTTCAACTGCACATGATGGCTGAAACATGGCACTCCAGGAGCCTCCATGTCACTTCTGAAGAGCAATTTACAGTCAGTGAGAAGACAGTACTATGATATTTTTGTTGCTTCTTCAAGAGAAAACTTAAGAGTAATTATTCTTAGTCCTTTGCCAAATCATGTGTAGGCTATCTTCATTTCCGATTACATGTGTGTTGGACTCCCAAATACTTCTTGCCTTGAGACCTGAATATTTGGATAATAGCTAAGAAATTCTGCTTTTTCAAGAAAAGAGAGTTCTTGCAATCTTCTTTCCAACCAACTGCAACCACCAAAAAACAACAACAACAACAAAACCCCAAAACAAAAATCAGAATGTTCTCCAAATGTCAAATGTATTGTAGCTATTAAGACCCAATGTAATTCCTGTTTAAAAGGCAAAAATTGTAATAGTATTTGTGATGAGTCACTTGTTAACAGACCAGTCATGAGTTTAAAAGAAATGTAACTCGTTTCATATTAGTGCAGACAAGAAAGAAGGAAAGATTTAATTTTGCGATCAAAGAACAGCTTTTGGTGGAACCAGACTGTTACAGACGAGATGCAGTTTGGTGAGAGCAGAAGACTGGCTGGCTTCTCAAGGCAATGGCAGATTCCCCTTCTCATTTTGCACCCAGAAATGTTAATAGAGCGCCACACTTTTCTCAGCACTGCAGCTGACTTTAAATGGTATTTGTGTTTTGAAGTTTAAGGAGAATGTTTTACAGGGAAATGTTTCCCTGAAGATGCCAGTGTGTTTTTTCTTGTAGGATTAGTCCCACGTGAATCACAACCGATACAACCTTTCCTACAGAAGCCAATTTTAAAAAGCAGTTAGTTAGCTTTCTTTTCCTCTAGTAGAAGAAATCAATTGTACCAGTATCATTTACTCCCAGAGGTAGGTTATCCATGATTCTCCAGTTTGTTTTTTCTTGTAGGATTAGCCCCACGTGAATCACAACCGATACAACCTTTCCTACAGAAGCCAATTTTAAAAAGCAGTTAGTTAGCTTTCTTTTCCTCTTAGTAGAAGAAATCAGTTGTAGCAGTATCATTTACTCCCAGAGGTAGGTTATCCATGATTCTTTATGGCATTTAGAAACAGGATTAATTGAAAGGTCATTAGCCTCTGGATACAGAAATATGCAGCAAGATATCAGGCCACAGACCTTTTTTTTCTTCTAACATTTAATAAACCTGGAACCAGGCTAGTATGTTGGCAAATATAGTTTCGAATGCTACCTGATACTGGAAAGAATGGACAATTTATATGCTCGTAACTGTTTCCTATGAAGCTGCATTGGACTGAAACCTGAAGAACTTTGTGGCTCCATATGTTTTCTATTTTAATCTAATGAAACAGTAAAAATAAAACGTTGAAAAAGAATGTGACACAATACAAGAGATATGCCTCAATATTTGCAAGGCTCAGTCTATTAAGAGATGTCTGCTAGGACTGGTTAGTGTTTAATAATAAATAATGGGGAATTCCTTTGGCAAAATGAAGTATACGTGATTTATAGATTTTGTGGGGCAACTTTAAACTAAAAACATATTTCTTCTAATGCTTATTTAGAACCTAAGCCACTAGCATGTTTAGTTCTCCAGATTAATCTGATTTTCACATAGATGTCCTCTTCCATCTCCTTAAACAGGGAATGAAATGTTTCTGAAATGTATGTTTCACTCTTGCAGAACGTAAATTACACCTGAAAACAGCCTTTTCCTCTACATTCTATGAAAATCTAAGAACCCAAATAAGGTTGTAAGAGTTAGTCTGAAAACAGAGAATGAGGCCCTGTTGTTCATTTTTCTGACAATCATCTGTTGATTATTCATTGCTAAAAACATACAGGTTGTGAATGAAATACGTAGTTCTATAAAAATGTATTGTGACATACAAATGACAGTGCTGTCATTGCTTTTGATGTCATTATTGAAAATCTGCTGCAAGATGACTAACAGCATCGCTGCCATATTTTACTGTGCTTTTGATGTAGTTACTGCCAGAAAACAAATGCTTTTATCATCTTCGCAATATTGGCCTTGAAATACAATAAAAAAGATTTTTCGAAAGTGTGACACATACAGGATGTGGAATATATCTGAATCTAGCTGTGAACTCCTTTATTTTTTGAATATCGTTCTATCTAATGACAATTTTAGAATCTGCACTGAAAACGCACTCCAATCTTGACCTTGTCAGTCTATTCTGCAGCCTGCCTAGGTCTAGGGAGGCTCTTCAGACCTGTTGGAAGGAACAAGCAAAAAATCTTCATTGTTCTACATGATCGAGCCACCTGATAGTTTTGCCACAGACTCCGATGGCCCGGGGTAAGAGTTTCCTATCCTTGAACATATGGTTGAAAGGGTTAGAGACTGAGGCTGGCGAAGAAAAGAACCATCCACCATCACATACCAGAAAATCAGGCTCAAGAAAGTAAAACTGGCAAAGTTTGCCTAGTTCTAAAAATCACAAAAAGGGCAAAGATAACACTGGGTGGAGATGTGTGTCTCATGGTTGCTTTTTGTTTTGTAAAGGTCTGTAACTCTCCAGGGCTTTCTTTACAGTAAAAATAACTGGTTGGGAAATTCCTTGGCTGAGTCAGAAGAGTTTAATCAAGACGTTTGGAGAACCCATAGCATATGGGACTCTGAGGCAGAGGCATAATCCTGGGTCATCCTGCAAAGGCTACAATAATGCAAACGGTTTTCTGAGAAGTCAGGTCAGCTCTTTGATCACGGCTCACCCAACATAAACTGGAACTCAACCCAAATTTCTGTTCCTACTACATCTCACTTCTACGGGAAGATGTATAAGCAACCAGAGCCCGAAAGGGATGACACACTGTTTAGTGCTTTAAACAGAGATACGAAGTCACAGAAAAAGCAAGTCAACAACAGTAATCCGGGGGTAAAATAAAATCCCTTGAGGCTTAATATGAGAAAAACTGTAAATCAGAAAGTTATGAGGAAATTAATCGTATTTGAAATATCTTTTTTCAGAATGAACAGTGTAGTTCATTTAGAATAATTTTTTTCAATTCGTACTCTTGCATACCAATCCTTCAAAAAACTTTCTGTATCTATCAGAAGTAGAGGTTTTGAGATGGAAGTTCTGAGATGACATTAAGAAAACTAAGTCAGAGAGAAGTAAAGAAAATAAAAGTAACGACAGCAGAATTGTTTGTGGCGAGACAGTTAGAGGGAAATAAACCGAGGAGGGTTTGGAAAGCATGAAGCACACTGGAAATATCTTTTAAGTTACTAAGCATCTGCATTAGTCTTGTGGTCTCTAAAGTGACTATTAAACCCTGGAATGATTTAGCATGGAGTGCGCTACCTACAGTGGTCCTGTTAGAGTGGGGTTAGAGCTCTCCTAGTATCGATACTCTCTATATAATATAGTATTATATATTTCTTACTTTTACTGAAGTCATTAAGTTATACACTCCGATATATCGACCATGCTTAAAATCTAGTTCTTTTCCAAACAGTTTCAGTCCCTTTGGCGTGCCTGTGGCCACTGTGCAGTTCTAGGCGTACGGCGCCTGGTCTGTGATGCTCTTAACCTCCATGGAAGGGTGACAGACATTGGATCTGCATCTTGGAGATACAGAGCTGAAAACTTGGCACTAAACCTGACCAGAACTGACTGGCTTTTAAATGCCATGGGGAATCAAGAGGCTGGGTCCATTTACACCAGTAGGGAAGTTGGATTGCACTGTGGTAGATGACCTATTTCTTCCAATTGTAGATACATAACAAGTATGTTTCACTTGTACTTCATGAAACTATCCTTATGATACCTTGACTCATTTGCTGTAACCATGCTGCATTTTGAGCACAGGCCCACATCAATGCTCAAATCTGCTTCTGCCATATACGGACCTGCAGTCATTGGGAAACAGGCTCCCACAAACCCTCGGAGTGAGCTGAAGTACATAGTGCGATGGCTGAGAGCATTAGGCCCCGTCTGGTTTTCTCCCTCATGTTCCCACATGCCCTTGAGGTGATATCCTGTCTCTGCAGAAATTTCCCTAACAGGACATTGTCCGCCATAAAGATAACTGAGGTCCCTATTCCCCTTCATTTCTGGCTGGCACTAGAATATGTAGATACCCACACCAAGCCACAGGAATCCTAAGGCAGCAACATGGACACCCCCTAGTTGATAAAGGAGGAAGATGGCTCAAGCCAGATACCTAGCATGGCAACATGATGCCAATGAAGAAAAAAACCTCATGTTTTGGGGTTTACAACCAAATTAAGACCAACTGAATTAAGATTAGAAAATATCCTCTTACTTGGTAATATTTCTACAGTACAGCATCTTGAGAATCTGGAGTTGCTTACAACCTTTCCAAAGATATTTCAGTGTTTTGTCAGTAAGATGAATGCAACCCGAGACATCCAAGAAGTGGAGATAATGGCAGGCTGCAGCCAAGTATTGGATACAGGTGTCAGTCATCTGTAAATGAAGCAAGACAAAAACACAGAGCACAACTTTAGTGTCCGATTTGTGGGAAAATTATGTTTTAAAATACTTCATGGAAGTAAAATTTCTGGCACAGCCCAATTCTGAATCTCTTCAAGAGGCTCTACAAGAACCGTCATTTAAATATCAGGAACATATTAGGTATTAGTTAACTGTGAATCCAGTACAGTCTAAAGTATTGTGGGATTTTTTTCACCTAATCAGAATGGTTTAACTTTCCCAATCTCATAATTTTGCATGTAGCACATATAAGCCTTTAGCCTGATCTGCTATTGCATTGTTCTCACTAAACTATTAGGCTGGACTTATAGTTTAATTATATCAATTTTATATCTCAATTCTCTATTACAAATGAGTGTCTCACACCAAGACCTTTTTAACGTATAGTTGTTTTTCTTTAGCTCTGAAGTAGAGCTGCTTAGTTCCACCTCACAATTCCATTTTTCTAAATAGATATTCATTGCCATTAATGCTGGAAGTCGCATTTGAGAAACACATGAGACAGAGTCTTTAAGGTACATAAGCAGTCATGCAAGCTACTTAATTGCTCCACTGACCTCAGTGGAAACAGTTTAAATGCTTAATTACCTTGTTCAGTCAGGACCAAAAATCAAGAGGGGACATGTTAAAGACCTTTAAAAGACACTGGCTTAAAATCAGTGGAGTGGGATGGTAGAAAGGGAGACGAGGGTTTCACTTGCATTAAACAGCAATCTCATGAGAATCTAAAAGTGACAAGTAGGCAAGATGAAGCTGGGACTTTGGGTTGTGGAACAGAAAATTAGCACACTATCTCGTGATAAAGTCCTCCTGGAATATAGACGAAATTCTGTGCTTGCTTATTCCAGATTTAGCTATATGCTCAATATTAGATCTGCAATAGATTAATAAATAGATTAAAATATTAATATTCCTATTGAAATAAACTGAAGTTGCTGCCTGAACTCAGTAATTGGTATCAGATGCACTTAAGAGAAATCTACATTCATCATACACTCAATCCTATTCATCTTAGAGGACTGAACTACAGAATTCATTGCCCATCGAACTGTGTCTTCAGAACTCTGCTATTTAAATAGCTGATTCATTCATTTAACCAGAGATTTATTTCCAGTTCTTGCTATATTTTTTCATGTGTAGGATATGTTTCCCACAGCAACTTCATTTTTTTCCTATGAAATAAGAATTACCCTTGAATCAGGCTCATTCTTTGCGTAAGACTCAGAACTGCACTGCTGAATATTTTAGTATCAGCATTTGCGAAATGACTCGTACCTGTCCTACGGAGACGTGACAGGGACGCTCACTGCACTTTCACTGAAGCCAGTGGGGTTTGTTCAAAGACAATTAATTTGCCCCAGTAGATATGATTAAAGTGATAAGCTCTTCTAATTTTAGAGTAACCTGCATAGCACATGGCAAAACATTCTTAATGGACATGTATTTGTGTATTGATTTTTTCCATGTTCTCTTGCTATGATTTTCTTTTCAAATTCTTTTTTTTTTATATAATATAGCTGATGTTGCAGGACATGACTGTCAGACATATTAACATATATCCTTTGGAACAGGTTCATTCTTTCTTTAATCTCCTGACCATTTTTAAACAGTCTCTGAGTGGAAAATATTTCCTTACTTAGCAGCTGGATCCCCTCAATTTACACTAGAGATTGCCAAAGGATTTGAAAGACCCATTAGTTTTAACATCCACAGGTGTACCCATCTCATTTTATGGAGTTGCAGACTGGATTCAAGTCAAAAAAGACTTGTAAACTTACGTGTAAGTTTATTTGAAAGAGTCTTGATGTTCTTTTCTGAAAATAGTAGGGTATTAGCAGTTAACAGATTGGCTTTATAACCATTTAAAGAAAAGATATCATCTAGGAACAAAGTGTTGGAAGAGGATTACTAGGTCACTGAGTCTACTTTTTGTTCCCATTTGAAGGAACTACAAAATATGACCCAGTTCATTCCCTTATCAAGAGCCATCCTAACATTCCTTAATACTTTGCCCCCATGTCCCTTCCCAGGATGCTGTTTTACAATTCATTGCTCTGATAATCAGAAACTCTCCCAATTTCCAGCCTGCCATTTTATAGGGTTTTTGGGTTGGTTTTTTTTCTGTGTTAGTCTATAAAGTGTAGTGGAAAGCATGGCAGAGAAGACTGCTTGCAAAACTAGCTAACTTCTAATATAGAATCATAGAATCATAGAATCATTAAGGTTGGAAAAGACCTCTAAGATCATCAAGTCCAAGTGTCAACCCAACACCACCATGACCGCTAAACCATGTCCCTAAGCGCCTCATCTACACGTCTTTTAAATACTTCCAGGGATGGTGAGTCTACCACTTCCCTGGACAGCCTGTTCCAAGGCCTGACCACTCTTTCAGTAAAGAAGTTTTTCCTAATGTCCAGTCTAAACCTCCCTTGGCGCAACTTGAGGCCATTTCCTCTCGTCCTATCGCTTGTTACTTGGGAGAAGAGACCAACACCCACCTCGCTACAACCTCCTTTCAGATAGTTGTAGAGCACGATGAGGTCTCCCCTCAGCCTCCTCTTCTCCAGGCTAAACAGACCCAGTTCCCTCAGCCGCTCCTCAGAAGACTTGTTCTCTAGACCCTTCACCAGCTTCGTTGCCCTTCTCTGGACACGCTCCAGCACCTCAATGTCCTTCTTGTACTGAGGGGCCCAAAACTGAACACAGGATTCGAGGTGCGGCCTCACCAGGGCCGAGTACAGGGGCACGATCACCTCTCTACTCCTGCTGGCCACACTATTTCTGATACAGGCCAGGGTGCCATTGGCCTTCTTGGCCCCCTGGGCACACTGCCGGCTCACGTTCAGCCGGCTGTCGACCAGCACCCCCAGGTCCTTTTCCTCTGGGCAGCTTTCCAGCCAACTTCAACTACTTTGGGAAGATCTCCACGCACAATTTCTATTATCTCTGTTATTATGAAAAAATAGTTTAATATCTATCTAAAAGCAAAGGATACAGGAGACTGAGACGCACCTATATGATAATTAATGCTGTACAGTAGGTACCTGTAAGATATAAACCAAGGGCTATTGTAGGACACAGAGCAACTTCCTTGGCCTGCCAGATCTGAGAGTCAGCCTGTGGGTTTTGTCCTAGAGGCTGAGAAACTTATAAACTTTTGAAAGGCTAATGAACTGATCAGAATATGTATAATTTAGGGCTGGCTAACTAGTCAGCTAGGTCACCTCAAACTAGTTGGCGCGGAGGCTAAGGTGTTCAGCCACTGCAGTGAGTAAGAGGACATGAGGACTGTGTGGAGGGCTGAAAGGATAGTCAAGGGTTATGGAGATGGGTGTCGGAGAGGAGGAAGGCAGGGACAAGCGATGGCTGCATACTTCTTGTGGAAGGAACTGGGCACTTCAGTAGGAAAAAAGAGGGAAACTGGTCCAATGAGTATGATGAAATTTTGAAGGACAGTTCAAGATGAACTTTTCCAAAGGTAGTAATAAACTTAGTATATTCCCACTTGATAGTGTTGGAAGCAATACTACAACAACTTTTTCCATGAATGAAAATACCAAGAGTTATTAAAACAAAGACAGCACCCTTTGGAAGCACCCAAAACACCAGAAGCTGAGAGTATTTGCAGGAAGTATCACTAAAAGCCCTTCCCTTTTCACCCTTCCCTAGACATTAACCCCTGGAGAGACAAACTTTTACCTGATCCAGCACGGACACCTTTATGTTGTAACTGCAACCATGAGAAGAACGCCAAACACTCTCAAGAGCCGAGTCTCAGAACTTAAACTCATGGAAAGTCAGCTGGACTTACGCTCTGATTTCTAAATTAGTTAAGTACCTTGTAGAATTGTGACAAGACACAGATGCCAGCAGGTCAAATTTCTGAATAAATACTAAGTACTTCTTTGCAATAGCAATCCCAGAACTATAGCCCTATTTCTTATACATACCTTTGGGCAACCCGCTATGTTGACAGATGTTAGCGTGTGGCAGTGAAATGCCATTGCTTTCACAGCTTCATCCGTCAGCTGAGGGCAGTAAGAGACATGGCAGTATTCCAAGTATTTTGTGCCCTTGCAGAACTCCTGAAAGAGTGACAAACAAGCCAATCATTCTTAGGTGACATGCCTACTCTATTTATTCTCAGTTAACAATACATTTACATCAATCCTTTGATCCACTTCAGGCACTTCAGTTTTCTAGGTACCCTTTATTAGTAGGGAAGTCATTCAGCCCTTGGCTGTGAATGTCACTAGAAAAAGAAGAGATGCATTAAGAGGCTCTTTTCCATTGCTTATATATTATACTGTGTGTTCATTAGTTCATATAAGTTCCACTGTATATATTAATATATGTTGAATTTGCATTCTTTAAATTGAGCACAACCCAGAACCTAAAGGTTTGTGCTTAAAGGACTGGCCCCAATACATTTATTCTTCTACTTTCTGCAAATGCCCGCTTTTGTGTATATTAACTTTTCTCTTTTTTTTTTGCAAAAATGAACAAACAACTGTATCTGTATAAATTACATTATTTTCTTGGAAAGGAAAGGGTAAGAATCTCAGGACTGTCACTCGGGCGTTCTGGGTTCTGATTTGCTCTGTGGAGCTCAGGCCAGTTAACTGTGGCTGAAGCGCCATTTTTCCTGCTGTGATACCTGTTGACTACAATTTCTATCCTCATGTTTAGATAGATAAGCACCTGCAGATCCTACTGACTTCAGTTCCAGCACCTTTGTAACTCAGATATTAGCTTTTTCGTACGCCCTGTAAAACAGATCATTTTGGAAAACAACAGACCAAACGGTGCAGTGACCTTTCCCAGCTTATAGAACGGAGTGGAGATAACCTCACACATTATGAAATTGCGAGAGCTGTTTACAAAACAGTTCGGTGACCTGCAGATGGCAAGTGATAAATAGGTGTAAGGTGTTAGTATTATTATTACTATTATTATTATTATGATTAATACTACTACTGAGACATTCCAGCTTCTACATGAGTTTTTTAATTTTTACAGTAATACCTTTTCCGTGTTCTCTTCTACAAGGCCAATCGAAAAGACCAAAAGGATAATTTGACCAACTCAATGTGTTCATGTATCTTTCATCTTACATTTGATACTTGCACCTCTGACAGGTGATCATATGAATGAAAATTTTTAGCAAAATGCACATTAAATTGTATATTTTAAATAGCATCAGAGAATCCCACATAAAACTTTGCTTCTCATGAAACATGGGTAGTTATAACTTTGGCATACTATGCACATTTATGGTTTGCGATGGAACTCCTATGAAACGCCACATAGACTCATAAAATATACTTTTCTCCTTTGCACTCTGAAACTTTGTTTACCTTTTGCCCTGAATCTTTTTGCAACCTGAAAATATTCACTTCTAGGCCTACAAAGAGAAGGAGAAGGTAGACCATAATTTGTGTTTGTGGAAACCTTCTCTTGAAGAGCCTGCAGATCTGTTAACTCAAGAACCAAACAACCTAAAATCGTATTTCTTCACCTAATGGTGCCATGATGTGAGCATCGGAGAACATTTTGCGGCTCAACCAAAGCTTTAGCTTCAGTGAGAATCTCTCCTCTTCTGTGATGTCCAGCCTAAAACCATGGTGAGATGCCTTAAATTTGCCACTGAGCTCATCTTCCAGACCTGCTAATCTTGGCCTAAGGCCAGTGTAATTTGTCATTTACTGGAATGGAAATTCTACCTCTATAGGGGAAAGAAGGAAATACTTATGTAGTAGATTGAATAAAAAACACTGGTTGCATGAAGCTTTTCAAAACTTTCAAGAATTAGTCCTGAGGTAAACAGACTAAGGACCACATGGATAAATAACACATGTGCATGCACACAGAGACACACAAATGCACATATTTATCATGCACAAATATTACATATTTATCACTCTGAAAAAAATTCTGTAGTAATCAGACTATTACCTTTGACACACAGCTATTTTTTCCTTACGTGAAACAGGAACTCAGACACTAACATATGGTTGATCACTGGAAAATGTTAGCTTTGTTATGACCAAAAATTATGTGATTCTGTGTGATTTTCATAGGTCTTACCTAAAGAGATGCAAAGAAATGTTTTAAGTCTGAAATTTGTTTCATAGACCGGAATTTTAGAACTTTTTGTCTGAACTCTAGCTTCTTTTTTCTACCTATCAGTGATAGGTATCTATCTAGCAAGGCAGTGCTTCTTGGGCTTTGGGTTCTTGTTTTATTTTACAAAAGTATTAAAATTTGAATGTTTTAACTTAGGACTAGTTAGAGTGGACAATTCAGAATTTATAATAATTGGCTTCTGTACCTTTCCTATTTCAATCTTAGCTCTACAGGCTGTTTGTTACCCACAATACAGAAACATTCTAAATCCAGTAACTGAATGTTTTTTATCCATGTGTAAGAGAAACGGCACTCCCTTCAGAATTAGGCCTCAGATGTGATGACTTAATCACTACGTTCTCAGCTAGGGTATGTAGCACAAGCTGAAGCCAAGATTTCAATGCCTGTGAGATATGTTTGTCTTGTTTTTACTGGCATAGTTTGTCTACATACATATTTAAAATATCCTTCAAAGTTAGGTTCTGAATTTGCTATTAACTTTAAGTCTACCCCTACATTATTTTGCAAACTGCTCTAAAATTTTGCAAACAGCAATCAAAGGGAATGGAGCTTTGTTTGCTCTCTTCAGCTCTGTATCCCTGGTTCTATGCCTATAGAAAACAACAGAAGAGGTTGTGAAGATAAATAATGTTTGCAAAACATTTAGACACTACAAAGAATCAAATACCGTATGAATAAAATAATATTTTCTAACTTATTTGCACAATTTTAATTCTGTGTAAATAAGACCTGAGGACACACACAAGCATCAATGAAAATATGAAATACTAAATTGCTGCTCATTAAGTGAGCGTCATCTGAGTTATGAATGAGCAAAGATCCTATTTACACAATATGTGATCACATAAGCATTTACATACTGTTATAATGCCTGGGAACAAGTAACAGAATTAACACTGTACAGTCAACATTATTTCTGTTTATATTATTTTTCATTACATTATTTAGTTATTTTATAACTTTCCAGCAATTTACCTTAACAGTGTTAGTAAAGCCCTCTTAATATGCATTTTCTTTTCACATAATTTAAATATTCTTTATATAATCAAAGGGTAACCAAGTCATGCAGCATACAATGGGGTTACTCTACAAATTTTCCATAAACTCATATCCTTAGATTCAACTTACAAAAAAGGACTTGCCATTTTGTTTTGATTTACTTCATACCTCTTCTTTCTCGTGCCCTCCCTAGATCCATGACAACATGGCTTCTGTAACTCCTACATGTACTCCCTGCTGACGCTTTCTTCCTCAAAAAGTTCAAATTCATATGGCAGACAAGGAAAGCATAAACACTTCTTTTTTCACAGTCTTTGAACTTACTCTGTGTAGTGAGACAACTGGAATAGCTTCTTAGCCATAAGCATAGCAGAATGCAGAAGTGAATATCCTCCTCTGAAAGCAGCAGCACTGGCACTACACGGCTTTCCGTGAGGTACACAACATGTACATACTTGGTCATTTTTTTGGTTAAAAACATGGAACTTCACACAGAACATTCATGAAAGGCGAGTCAGAATTATTCCTAAAGAAGCAAATCCTAATGGCCTGACGTGTATGTTGGGTAACAAGATTCAATCCAGATGCATCCCTTGTGGCACAGCAACAACTGACTCATCCTTACAATATATGGCTATAAAATGATGGATGTTGGAGCTTTATAATGGAAAAAATGTAGAAGCTGAAGACTGCGGTTATGTGATGGCATTGCCTGTACCTGCAGCCTTACGATCTGCAACTGTTTATGGGCATGAAATTGATATCATTAAAAAACATGATTTAAGCATTTCTGTTACATACATTTAGGAACAATTCTCAGTTACAGAAAAAAGTGCTCTCATTTGGATGTAAATCCTCTCTCCTTCCTAACAAGATGGATGGTTCTTTTTTCTACTGTAAAGTTACCAACTAGTGTTTATTTCTTACATTGTTCTGAAACACAAAGCAGTAAATACTTGCAATAATAGCAAATTTGTCAAATCCCCATAAGGATTTAGGTAAACCTCAAGCAACCTGTGATAAGGAATTTCACAGTTTAACTATACATTTTGGAAACAGTCATCTCCTTTTCTTTGTTCTGAATTTTCAAACTAGGTTCATTTCATGCCCACTAGATTATGTATGGAAGTAAACAGCAAAAAGTTGACCCCTATCCACCCTTTTCATGCCACTTGCGATTGAACAGATCTCTGTCGTATTCCCTCAGCCATCCTCTTTCCAGACCACAGGTTCCTTGCTTACTTATCTGTTCCTTTTATGGAGATTGTACCATACCCCTGATCATCCCTATTACCCTCTCTGAATCTTTTCCAGTTTCCAGTGCAATGCTTTACCCATAAAAAGAATTACAGTAACACCAAATAACTGGTTTTACCAAAACAAGACAATGAGTACTAATAAATCAGAATTTAGTATGTAGTTACTGCTGTGATGATAGCGTAAGTCTAATAAATATTTGGATGGCAAGTCTCATTGTTGACATTCATTTAAAAAAAAGCAAGGGTCAGTAAATCAGAAATATGAAAAAAAATTATAAGCATTGTAAAATGAAATTCAAATACTGTATTAGTGTTAATATTTCTATAATTGCTGATTATTCAAAAGAGAAAGTATTTTCTCACTGTGTAACTTCATAACTTATGATCAATGTAAATAACTGCCTTTGTGGCAACTTCAATTTGTAGGTTGCCTTTCTACAAATGAATTAATTTCCTGTCTGATTACTTATAAAGATTATTGACCCTGGGAAATTTCTAAGTTCATAGGCTAAGTATGAGATCAGAATACTAAACAATACATGTTTTAATCTAATCTTTTTATTTTAAGAACAGTATCTAGCTTTATATTGCCCAGATCCAATATTTAAATTTCAAAACCACTGTGTATAATAATAATTTTAAAAAGAAAAACAATGGAAAAAATGAAGTTTAGTGAGATTCAATAGATGTCTTGCTGTGAGCATGATGAGATCTTTAGAATAAAAAGTCAGTATTTCAAACATCTAGCTTAAAATACAAGGAGTCCATTTTCTAGCAGATTAGTTTCATCATTAGATATGAATAAATTACGCATTTGATGTTTTCGTAGGACATTTTTAAAGGTTTTATTCAAATAATGACACAGTGCAATTTGTGCTTTTTCCCATAAAACAGCGAAGATGTCTACTCAATCTGGAGAAGATGCATTTCTTATTGAAATATAATTTGTTATTTTTAATCATGGTAATCATACCATTTATGCTGGTAAGAAATGCCTTTAGAGGTATATCGAGACATATTTTTGTGTCACTAAGAGATAATGATGCGGAGGAATATACCAGGAGCAGATGAGGCACCAAGTGTAACAGACTAAAAGAAATTCAACTATTCCATTGAGCGAGGCATGCTAAGTCATCTAAATACGGCATTCAACAAATGGCTGACTAAAGAAGCAGAAAGCAAGACCTGAAAGCCCACACCAGTGATGGGAAAAATATGTTTGAAATAGAAATTGGTGAAGGATTTGTAGAGCAAGAAAGAAATCATAGTACCAGCAATTTAGATTGCAATTTCACAGTACAATTCAGTAGGAATTAAGGCTCTTGTGGAGTGAATTTCAGAATCAAGCAGAATTGAAGACTTATTAAAATTCATGGAAGGAAAGGAATGAAAGTGGAGAATCATTTGTAAGAGTGAGAGTGTAGAATGGTGTAATGAAGAATGAATGATGACGTAGAGAGTAAAATAAGATCAGTTTTGGACATGGTTAATTTGAAGAAATAGAGAGGCTTCCAGGAAACACCAAGAAAAGAGGTGAAGTTTTACCTGAATCCCAGAACCACTGATGTTTTTGCATTCTGATATAGAAAGTTCCTTTATTTTTCCTTGGCGGCCAAGGGCTCTCAAGCCCTAAAAAATTCCAGAAAAATTAATCTTAAAAATCAATTTATGCAATTATATGTAATTACATTTAACATGTTACGATAGTCAATAATATCCAACGCCTGTATACTAAAGCTTCTAAGAATTACAGCACCTTTTAAGACATTCTTGTCAGCAGAATGCATACAGTTTATCCTTCAATTTTTGCTTGAAGTATGTACAAGGGTTAAGAATTCTTTGCAGAAATAATTCAATTGAGAAAGCAAAAAATTAGCTTTTCCTTCCTGTTCAGAAAGAAAGAAACTGAAGAAAAGTAGCGTGGTATGAAATACTTCCACAGGACACAGACTAGGACTTTCATAAAGCAAAATACATTTACAGGTCTCCTCCAAAATTTGCGTTTGAAAGAACTTTTCACAAATTTTTTTTGTGGGAAGAACAAAATACTATTTGCTACAACCAAATAACATCTTGAAATTGCTGCCTTTATGATTTGCTTACCAGTAAGGGCTTTATGGCTACAGCTATGGTACAAGACAACATTTGAAACGATGCAGTCGCACTCATAAGTGCATGAACAACCTCCATATTCAAGGCAATAGGGAGGTGAAAACTTTAGTAAATTCCTATTTTAGGAGTGCAAAAGGATCCGAATATGCTTTGTGATTTTTACTGCTTGTACACCAGGGAACAGGACCATGTTCTGATCCTAAACTCTCCAATCTGAAGGAGAATTAAATGTTGATTTTGTAAAATATATTTTGAGACTCACAGCAGAATATCTCTGTGCTTCATATCAATAAACTAAACTTTACTGAAAAACAAAGTTATCACTTTATTCCATATGATTAATAAATTATCTACAATTAGGCAGTGAATAGCACTGCACAGAGAGGAAATACCATCTTGAAAAAATAAGCACATGTAAATAGTGTCTGGAATCCAGATGTGCACACTGTAACGATAATGCTGGAAGAGTGCGGCTAGAGTTCAAATTTTGCAAATTCCTGAAATCTCACATGCTGAATAAAAACAAAAAATGGAACAATGAAAGAGATTTCCAATCCTGGCTACTTATGAAAATGAAGAAATTTGCATTTTTCTCAGCAGACGCAATTATGTGGTGACCATTACTTTCAACAGCTTCATGAAAATCTACAGATTTCAAATTTTTGTTGACCAGAGCACTTCTATTCAAGACAAAAAAACAGTTATGTACTTAAACCCCAAATGGGTTTATGTCATAACTTGAATTCCTTACAGCAGAGACTGACAGTGATAGGTGTGTCCTTATGGACATAATTTCTTCTTGCATTTTTCTTTATTTAAAAGTGGCACCACTTTAATGTACTTGGTAACGAAATACTAAAGAATATTATAAAGATTTTTTTTGCTACATGACAACTAATGCTACTATGACTTCAAAGTTAAATTATAATAATTTTATATGACTAGAGTGACATTGAATCACAGAAGGTTTTTTTTTTCACCTCCTGTGAAGTGTTTCATTAATAATTCCAGATTTGAGAAATGAAAGAGTGAAAGTGAAGACATGGAAGACAAGGAATGTCATTAGGAACTGTCTATTATATAGAAAAACTATGAAACTTCTACGTTTCCAAAAATAAACCTCTTCAAACAAGCTCTATGCAGGAAGTCTAATCTGTATGAAATTTTTAACTATTATTTTATATCTAACATATATACAAAGGAGCCAATTATCACTAGTTTTATTAGACTTCCTGATTTATTCAGTAATATTCCCTGACGAATAACGTCAGGGATCCCCATGCAGGATACTGACCTATTTCTAGAGACTTTTTTCTTCCATACTAAGCCTCCAGACATTTTTGAAAGATATGGTCAGAGCTATCATATTATCATTGGAACTCCTGGAAGTAGATGCTAGCAAAACACACACTGTGCAGCATACAGACTAGGATCACCCACTCTGTGTGTCTCCAAAAACATACTTCCCCTTTAACATAGAGAAATCACCCCATGTATCTTGGATCAATCTTCTGTTGCATGGAGAAAGGGAAGACTTTTTCCTGCATCTCTTGTATAGTACGTATATTACCATTTCCATTTAGAAAACAGCTTTAAAAGAAACTTCTTATTCCACTCCAACAGCTGTTTTTTTCAAGCAAGTTTTACATTTTTGTTGTGTTTCATTTGCTTTATTACATGAGGCCTACACACATTTGCAGAACATCATTTATTATTATTTCACCAAGGTTTTTGTAGATGAGAAAATGAGTATTGACTGTACCAGTTGGTGAGGGTCTTCACTTGCTAGAGACAAAAGTTATCTGAGGCTATGGCATACCAGAGAACAATTCTTTATTATTTATATTCACAAGCTGCAAGTCTCTGCCTTTCAACTGCAGACTACAATGAATGTACCGTCTCTCGCTAACAATAACCATGTGCTACGCTATTTCAGCTTCTTCGGAGATTTCTGTTCACATATTTCTTTGTAATCTTAAAGGTCAGCATCTGTAATGTATCTTTATGTTCCAGAGATATACAGATGTTACTTCTTGTTTATACCCCAAACCAAACAGATTGACCTCAAAGTGACTCCAATCTTGGAAGACAGCTCTTAAGAGGTATCTCCCACCTTCCATTTCTGAGCCATTTGATATGAAATGACTCAGCTTATCCTTTAAAACGCCCAGATTCCTGCACAGATTAGCCACAGTCAGGCACCAGTTTCATGGATCAAACACTCACTAGAAGAGAAGAATGTCACTCCTATCATGCAGTATCATTTTGCTAATAACAATACATCTGTGGCAGAACAAAGTTCAGTTTCAGATAGCAAAAACCTTCTGGAAAACGGGTAAGTTCTTAAGCAAATGTAGCTATGCTATTTCCAATACCTGGGCTAATATAAAGGTGGGTGAGATCTGTTTACAGGAACTGTAGAGACATTTTTCTCTTGCAGTGCAGAAATCTCCCTGTATGACTGTGTATAATCCATGCCATAAAATTTAATTTCTGTACTTAACATCATTTGCGATTAGACCAGATCATAACTTATGAAATACAGTTGCCAATGTTTCTTGACACTAAGTCCAGATGACAGGGCTTCCATTGTAACAAAATGTCCTGTAAAAATATCGAGACCAATTTTCAACATTGCTAAGTACCTTTCATTCCTAGTGACTTGCATTGGGACTCAAGGTGTTAGCACATCTGGAATCGACTGTAATGACTCTCTGTGTTAGTATTTCCTATTTCTATGCATAATTAAGTTTCTAAGTCTCCAGGTCAATTCCTCTCTTTCTCTGTTCTCCCACGCAAACTGGAGTCCTAACATATGAACTTGGAGCCCATTTTAATATATTTTAACATTTCCTTTTCCCTGCCTTGGGAATGCATGTAATTTGTTACATCCTTTCCTTTGGAAATCAAATGCAACTAATTCACTTGCAGTCTGTTGCTGGTTATTTCTATTAGACCTGATAGCATTTTTTTCTTAACAAGGCTCTTCCTCAGTCCTACTGGCCTAATTTTCTAACAGACCAAAATGTGGAGCTGGGCTATGGATTCAAGTCACTGTAGATTCAGAATCTCACTAAGAGTGCAAAGAAATTACTCTAGATAACTGTGGAAAGCCAAAATGCCACTTTTGTGGGGTTTTTTTCCCCCTATTTAGAAACTTATTATTAAAATATTAGTAAATATTTATGTTGCAGCCAGGCCTTGAGGACGAGCCAGGATCTGAGTATCATCAAGTACAAACACATAAGAAAAGAAAGTTGAGCTAAATGTTTATACTAAGTAGTATAACCACTACTTCAGAGTTCTCAATGATTACAAATTATCCTCAACTTCAAAGAGTAACTACACATAACATGCAAAAGATCTGTGACTTGATGCCACAGATAATTCTTGAGGAGGCATTTCAGCCAGAAGAGAGAATGGGGCCTTAGATTATTATGAGAGAGAATTTTACGCATGACAGTCATTGCAGAAGAAAATGCAGAAGCAAAGAATATTTCTCTGTATACTTCATATTTCCTTTTTATCTTTGATTTCAGAAGTGTATCAGGGTTCTTCCCATTTTTAAAGTATTTTAACTATTTTTTATGTTGTAGGCTATTTTTTTTTCTCTCATTATTACACTGCATATAATCCACCACTGATACTAAGCTTCCTGAGTCTATGTCACGGCATCCACTGGTTTTGTTGCTGGATGCTCTGTGTAACTCAGGGGTCAACTAAGTTTCTTTAACAACACCTTTTATTATTCTTTGCTATCCCTTTTCCTGTCTAAATCCTGCTTGACTTAAGACACTTCCTTCAAATGTGCTGACACTTCTATACTTAATTTTTTTTTTATGTCCCAAGAAGATGGGTGGTCCAGTCCATATGCATCAGCAGCTTGTGTCAGAATGAGGAAAGCTAGGCAGCTGCATGCTTTCAGACTCTCAGACCTGAAGCAAAGCTGCCAAAGCTTTTTCATATAGACATCAGAAAAAGTTCAAGACATTTTAACAAAAATATGGAGAGTATGAGAATAAAGCTTGTAACTAAAACTGCTTCCCTAACTCATGGAACCATTTCTACTGAGTCTGCTTTTACAAGAAAGACAAATAGGTTTTCGTCCTAAATGCTAATGTTTCCAGCGCCATAATAAAGCTTAAACACCTTGCATATATTGTGAAGACCTTTACAATGATATCTAAAATGACTTGTGATATTACCTATGCATTCATGAACATGTTCACCATACTCACAATTTAAAACACTATGGTCCCTATTCCAGGGAGTTTAGAAGTGCAAAATGTGAGGGAAAACAATGAGGGAAGGGAGGCTAGCTAGAAAAAAAAGGGAGTTTTCTCAAAGAATTTAAAGGTAGTTTTTTCAAAGAACTCAACAACTTTGCTTCATCATGGTGTGTTTTTTTTTTTTTTTTAAAGAAATGCTGTCACTAAGTTGTAAATCTTTTCATTTCTACGTCTCTTTTAAGTTGTTTATAACTCTAAGAAACCAATTTTTAGTACTTCAGGAATGACAAAAACAGAACAAATGTCCTTCCCACTATTAAAAAAAGTTATTGAGACTTAAAAATGTGTGTTGTTTTAAAAAAATCAATTTTGAATAAAGAAGGAAATATTTTCTGAAATGTAAAAGAACGAATGCTAAAATAACTGAGTAAATAAATTCATATTTAAAATAATTCTAGTGAGTAAATAAATTAATATTTAAAATGTAATCCTAGGGGTTTTTTAATTTAATATTATCTATTTTATGAGAGTAAGAACAATATAGTCAAAGCCCTAATGAGAAAAGTACAGTAACTTCTTCAGTATACCACCAGTTTCTCATATGCATAAAGTTGACATCCTCTTTATTGGATGATATTTGGTTTTGTTAATGAATGGTCTTTGACTTATTTAGCAAGACACTTAAGCACACATACAGCTTCAACATGAGATGAATTACTTGCCTTATTCTAGCTTGTGTTTAGAAGTTTGCCTAGGCATTTTCTCTCTACGTAAAATGCGTAACTTTCTACACAATATCAAAATCTGAATATATGCAGATATATATTATTTTTATTCAATTTCCAGTCTTTCTGCTGAGGAGTAGACTCAGGACAAGGATAATAAACTTCTCCAAATATGAGAGACTTTTAATGTATTTCTTATTAGCACTACGTTTTTTAATTACTGTGAGTCTACAGGGTACTGTAATTTTTTTTTTTTATTAACAAAATCTCTTGTCAGGGACAATTCTAAGAGTCAATATATTTCTTCCAAATTCAACAAATTCCCTGAATGAAAGACAGATCACAACAGGAACATTCACTTATTGGGCATCAGAGCAACTACAGAAGAGGGAGGTACCAACAGTGGAAAAAAACTTCCATTTTGATTAAGTCAGTCATACCTGAGACACAAATCTGTAAGAAAATCTGACTCTACTGTACCTTTTCTCAACTATCCTTCCCTTAAGTATATGTCATCCTTTTCACAGTAAATTCTGCTCTGTTTTGATGGGCAGAATGATTCTGCTGTCGTTTGAAAAACCAGAAAGGAAAATTCTCTTGTGTAGTGCAAATGTTGCACATTCTACATTTTTCACACTAAATAGCAAGACAGCAAAAGCAACAGAGATCTACTGCACAGACTGCAGGAAAGCACAAGAGCCTTACAATTTTTCTTTATCAGCACAGCGTAATGGTGTTGATTACTGCACAAAAACATTATGCTCTCTGCTACGTTTTTAAAGCCATACTTACAAAGTCTAAATTGAAAGAGATCTTAATACAACTTCCTCTATATGCCAATAAAATGCATAATATAAAGTCAAAGCATACAAATAGTAGCTTGTTACAAAGCAGACTGCTAGATTTCTTTTTATCAAATAATGTTTTAAGATTAGAAAATGTATTTACTATACCTGCATGAATATTATATATTTAAACACAGCAAACAGCAAAAATGGTAACAGTTTTGTAGCTAGTACTACCAATTACAAAAATGATAAATGGTCAATTTCCGGGTTAATTTATCCGTCTTGTGGGAGAGAGAAAACTGAAAACCTTAGAAATGCAATGTAAGCAAAAGAGCTTGGCTTATTGCCGAGGTCATGGGTTGTGCTATGTGAAAACTAGAGTAAGAAGCAACACAGCATTTTAAAAGACTACCAGGCAAGGAGAAAACATTTCTGTTGAAACATTGTGGGACTGTAATTCAAGGCAGCATAAATTTCATTCAGATATAATCCTACGATATTTTAAATTATCACATTAAATGAAGTCTTCTTGGATTTCCCAACCCTCTTTATTTAGCTTAATTTTGTTTTTTATTTTCAGGCCTCCACAAAAGATACAGACTTTTTAATTACTTTTTCACATTTTATTTACTTTTGCACAAACTCTGTGTTAAAACCAAATAATAAAGTTCTTGGTCAGAATTCCGTTTGAACAGTGACTGAGTGAATAGCCTCTATGGCAAGTTTTCTTCATGAGGTTTCTCCTAGATTTCTGTGTTCAGTGAAAAGAGTTTGCCCCAAAAGTAAAAGAAGCAGCAGAACTGGCTCAGAACCCTGCTCACAAGGCAGGACCTGCCAAGAACATCTAATGTGGAGGCCTGCAATGTTTAACCTGGCTCCAACACTCACTATTTTGCTTTCCAGAGTCTTAGCAACTTGACACATTGAAGATACCTTGTTAGTAATTCTTTCACTAGCAATTATTTTCTAGACCACAGCATAGAGCAGTGCCTCTGCTAGAGCTAACATTCAGGATTTTTCACCATAAAATCTAGTTCATGGAAAACACAATTTTTACAAGTTTAAATGTTAAAAATACCAATTTTTTGGTTTCCCTCAGGCCTAATCATCCTGGAGCAAAAAAATTATGCTTAATAAACATTCTTTTCAGATCAGCTTCACAGCAGCCAAACTTCCTCTTTCTGATGGTTTCTGTTTCTCTCTTTCAAATGTAAGAATTGTCCAACTTAAGAACTACCTTTTATTTGTTACTGCCTATACACGGGCTAATACTATATTATACACATTTCTAAAATATGTTTTAACAACACTGCAACTCCACTGCTTCATATCCATGCAGGTTTTTAAATGAATGGATTTTTATTGCATTTTTTTTAAAAAGCCTAGATAAATAATAAACACATTCTTCACTCTTTAATCACATATATACCGTATCTGAGATGCTGGTTCCAGAGATATCAATGGATATCAATGACGACATATTTCCCAAGGCTTCAATTCCAGCATCAGTCACATTTTCACAGTGACGCAGATTTAGGTAGGCCAATTCATGACATCTAAATTAAATAAAAAACCAGAACTGTCAGCTTTCCACTTTTGTTACAGAAGCGTAGTATAGCAAGTACATTTTGTAATAATCCTTGCTAAGTTCTTTTCAGGGGACCTATGAAAATAAGCACTCTAGACTTTTGATACCTAGCTTACATAGGCACTTCCAAGGATTCCACTCATAATGCATAAGCATCACAAATGTTTGAAATCATGAACAGCAATCAAATTAAATCAAAATATGGAAATCAAGGAGCTGTATTACATAAAAATATTATTTACATTAGTTTGATGCTTGACTTTTCCCCATCTCCAAATCTCTCATATCTTGCACAGGAACTTTAAAGCTTACTGCAATGACAGAATTCAGGACCCCATGGCTGTACCCACACCCAACTACAGCTATGCAAATAATGGTACACAGCAAATGAAGACATTGCCAGGTTCTGCAAATCAGCACTGACTGATCATACATGGAAAACTGAATTTTACTGCGTAAGTAAGCACCATAAACTGTATCTTCCCATAACCAAACCAGAAGACCTAAGAAATGTGACTCCTCAAGCAGTGCATCTGTGCTCAGAGCCTTAGGGGTAACACTCCATCATTAAAACAGAGAAGGCATTCCCTAGCTTACCAGCAAGCATGCTACAATTATTCACAACTACTGTTACGAAAGCATAAACAGGGGCCTGCTGAGAGACCTAGTAAGGAGTGGAAAGACTGACTCCAATCTTCTCTAGAGATTTAAAAATTATCTTTTGATTGCCAATACCAATACTCCTTCTGAGGAACTGGAATTGAAGAGGTTTAGCAATAGAGTGTTTTTTGTTTGTGCAGACACGAGTATTTATTGAGTTTACAAAATGTGACTCATACATACTAATCTTTTAATGCAGTTTTGTCACTGACAACCATCATTTAAGCACTTTTTTCCCTCTAAAATTAAGACTTCTCAGGTTTCCGTATTAGTATTGATGGATTCCCCTTTATATAATGGATCATTTTCAAGAGATTCACAATGCCAAAAAAGACTAGTCATTTATCCAGTATTTTCTGTATACAATTGGCTGTATAATTTTACCCGTTTATTAACATATTAAGAACTTTAACATTAGAAATATACTGCAAGTCTAACCACACTAGAAGAATATTGTACTGAACTATGGTACCTTCGTGCTATTTCTGTGACAGAAACATCAGTGACATGAATACAATTAGCCAAATTCAGCTCTCAGCTTAGCTCCTGAAGAACCTTGTACAAATGGCTTTACACCTCCATCAGTGATTCTAAAAGAGAAATGTAGGCAATATTTATAATATATATTTTTCCTACTCCATACAAGTCAATATACAATTTGCATTCACAGCAGCCTACATTGTAGATAAGTAGAAATTAATAATGGTATTTTTAAAATAGGCTTTTAAACCCAAAAAGGAGTCAGAATAATTAATGGCTCGATTAGAAAGATGCTGCTCTTTGGAACTGCTGAAAACCAGAACTTTCTGCAAAAAAAGTCTGTTGGAGATTATGAGAACTTCCATTAGTTCCAACACTCAGATATGATAGCACGCCAAAAGACAGAGCTTGGAAAACATATCTAGAAAGTATCAGAACCTGTTTAAACATTTCAGAGTAATATTTGTATTAATATCTTTATTCATTTAAGGAACTGAAGTAATTTAAAGGAAGAATGATCTTCTAGCACAGAAGCAAAAGTCATAGGTAGTATATGTATGTAGTAGCTATTTTTGTACACATGCATGAAGAGTTAACCTGAGTTTTTCCTCAGTGTTTCAGCTAATCAATTGCATATCTCACACATAGCTAACTTATAATATACACAAAGGTTATAAAAATTAAGTAGACAGAAAATCTTTCAGCCAAGTTGAGAGGGTTGGAGAGCTGACTACAATTTGGGTGTTTCAATACAGTTCATATCTCTGGTATGTTTAACGTTACTGTACACTTAGCATTTCAATGCATTCCCAGTATTTCTTCTGTGTTCCCTGACGAATAAAAAATTAATCCCAGAATTCTGTAGGACAGAATCATATTTTGGCTTGTACAGTTTGTTGCAGCACAAAGAATCACTGCAAATCCCAAAGTCCCAGAAACACATGGGTAAGAATAGCACTACTAATAAAACGATAACCTGAACAGAGCCTCATTGTGTGACCATAAGCTACAGATGAAGCTCTAATTCATAAAGTGTTAAAGTAATCACTCTGCAATAATTCAACCACTGTGGTAGTTTTGGTGTTATTTCACAGTGCAGTTGTTTTTCATTCAAGATAGATAAATTTAAGAAATATACCTTCAGAATAATTAACTTTCATAAAGTCTGTAAGGAATGCAGAGCTTGGCAATACAGCCAACTGAATTAAACCAACAAGAAAAAAAAGATATTCTGTAACCACACTAGGCTTGAGGGCTGAAATAGCCGCATTATAACCTTTTAAATAATTGGGCTGTGAATACACTTGCTAAGTTTCTCTAGCCAGCTGATTAACTGTAAAGAACACAGGCCACACACTACTTTATCATACATGAAGATAACATACTTGAACTGGGAAAATGTGCCAAGGGTATGAGCCACCACATTGCCTGTGTCCATTTTTAGCCACCTTTTTACTCACGTCTCTATTATTTCTTAATTCTAATAATCATGATCAGTTAAATTTTTTTCTTCATTTTTCACGTGTAGTCCAATACTTCCTGTAATTTAAGAACTCTGAGTTGTTCGATTTGCTCTTTCTGTCCCTTTCATTTCTCAAAAATTTTTCCATATGACTAAGTTAGAAAAACTTAGACTCTTAGACTAAGAAAAAACGTCAATGAAAAAAGGAAACTGATTAAGAGCACTAAGACGGCTAAGCATTTCAAAACCTGTTCTTAAGATTCTACCACCAGTATGGCACTTCCCTTGATTCTGAGAGAAATCCCTAAATGTTTCTAACTCACAATGTGAACTTTTATAGCAATAAAATAAGAAATAAGTCCAAATAAGAGAATTTATAGAGTCCTATAAATACTAACAATACCCCTCTTGTAGTTTCATATCTCTTGAGAGAAACTCTTTACCAAGTTTAGATATGTGACAATCTATAACTTTGTTAATGTTGAAACTTTCACAAGTGTCTGCAAAAGCAATAAAATAAGTACAGAGTTTTACAATAGCTTTACAACTGATTAAAAGTTTTGTTAAGGTAATTCAGCAATTCTTTAGCAGTAGAGACAACCGACATGTGCAAACACACTCACAGCCCAAGATTTGTCCAACAGACTGGAAAATCCAGCCTTCTAGATATTAAACCAGAAAATGCAGGCACCTGTCCCATCTGCCCAGCTGAACTACCAACACGATGTCATGCTATTACTCCAGCACTTCTCAGCGCATCTACATGCAATGTTATCAAATTTTTATACAGCATCAACAGGCACAAAAAGTACTTTAGCTACACCTTAAGGCAGAATTCCTAAAACTTCACATGATGTTAGAAATTTTAAGATAAGCAGCAATGCTAGCTTCTTTGTATTATTTTATAGGTCTGTTGATTTTGAAATGTTTGGAGATTTTGCCTTCCCTGTTCCCTCTCATCCTTGACTCCATCACCGTGCCACAAAACAGGGAACAAGATTGCAGCTTTGGAAGCCCTTTCATTTGTCTTTGTTCTACTGACACATGACACACCTGAAGTCAGAAACAGTCTTCACATGAAATGTATCCTTCCTCTACAACATAACTTACAATGTTGCCTCAGTAATTGTAAAAGATTGGTAGTTTTGTTTATATCTTAGTACTAGATAATTATAAAGTATTATTTTAATATTCCCAAAATTAAACAATATCCAAATTTTAATAGAGTTGTGGCACTGGAATTGTCTTTGATTATCATTTTCATCTTCTTCGTAGCCACATTCCAGCACTAAAATATGCCACGGCTATTATTACACCTACAGTTAATTTTTTTGCTTGAACTGGAGTAATAATGAATGGATTTTTGAAAACATGATACAGGAACAAAAACCTACTTGTATAAAATATTTTTTAAAATATTAAGATACATGTACTAAAATTCTAAAAATTTATTTTTAAAACTGAAAGGTGTGTTAACAGGACTTATTGCCAGTATAATTAACTTTACTAAAATTCCTTTGCAATGGTTTACAGAAATCTGGATGTGATATAGTACCTTATGCAGTCTGCTACATTCAGTACAAGAATATGCTTCAATAGTGAAATCATCTTAAGACCATCATCTGTAATCTTCTGGCAATCAGCCATATGAATCTGCCTGATGTATGGGCAGCATTTACTCATCAACTTGAAACTTAAATCAGTAATTCGGTTATTCCCTGTTGAAATATATAAAGATGTAAGTTACATATCTGACATACTTAAGGGCCTGATCCAAATACCCACTGAAATCAGCTGAAAGATTTATTTCAAATTATCTGGATGAATTTTTAAAATACATTATCCTAATAATTTTGTGAATTATTATACTAACCTTCAATGCTGACCTTGACAAGTTTACATTCAGCAAGGGCTTTAAAAGTTGTATCAGAAAGATGTGGAGAGTCAAGAAAGACAACAGACATTATCTGTTGGCATTTTTCAACCACAGCCTTTGAAGGGAAAAAGGTGAAATAAATATTCTTAACCAATGCTGTCACGTAACAAAAGATCAGCAAATATTCTGCATATAATACCAAATGTTACAATTTCAAACAAATAGTTATAATCCATTTTAACAGTAACTTCTAGACAGTGAGTGGTATATAAACTACTGAAATTCTCCATATATTTATGATGTTTGGGAACACAAGGAAAAGAAATAAGTAACTGGAGACATAAAGTATGGCAGACGCCCGAGACAGTGATCTAGTTAACAATCACTTTTGCAGAAGCCTGAAAATTATTTTTTGATGGGCAAAATAAGTAGCAGAATGCCGTTCCCATATATTATATTTGCTTTAACACTGAAAAAACTGAAAAACTCTCATTTATAAACTGGAAGACTGTAATTCAGCCATACCCATGTAGCAAAAGATGATGACTGAAATTTGCTGAAAGTGACTGCAAGTGAGCAAGATTTATAAACATAATCAGATAATAGTTTTTAAAAATGTTTTCAGGGAGAAATTTTCATCTTAAATCGTATCTGCGTAACCTTCTTTAAAGTCAGTTGAAAGGATAACCCAGTTCCAACATCAGAAAATTTCTCAAACTACAGATTTATTTTCAATTTCTTACTTGAATACATCTGTCTGTAAGAGTTGGCATTTTGTTGATTAGCAAATCTTGAATCCTACTGCAGCCATTGGCAATATTTCTGAAGCCATCAACTGAAATCTAAGTAAGAAAATATTTATGTCTTAGCAAGCCTAATAAAAACAACACAGGAAAGGCTTGAGATATTTTCAATACTTTAAAATCATAGGTACCTAGATGCTCACTAAAACAAGAAATGCATTAATCTCATTAAAAGAAAAACAGACCCATATATATAGGTGTACGTATTATTCTCAAATTTTAACAACATAATCCAAATCCCAGGTCTGTTCCAAAAATGTCTCTACTAAGCAAGCAAGAGTACCCAGGCACAACAATTTCAGTCAACACCATTTATGGGAATGAATGTTGTTGTCACATCCTTCTACCTCTGTTTTCCCAACCTTATGAGGTATTCACATATGGCAGATGCTCACATCTAGTTTGAAGCAAGGTTTGAATGTGATAAAAGATCTTCATTGTTTTTCCCAGATCCATAGTAAAATATGTGTTAAATTCAGACGGGATACAAAGAAAGATCGTATGCAATCACAATAACATGGAGCTCGCTTACAGAATCCTTCATGTAGGACCACCTCACCAACTCTGCATACTTTAACAGAGCAATATTCAGTGACAGTATGAATGGACAGATGGATCTGTCAATTCAGTTTATTCCCTTTATCACTCCAGGGAGTGACTTCAGGGAGTCAATTCTTCAACTGCCCAAATTCAATAGATGTCAGTTCACTCTTGGGCATACAAAGTAGTTCCTTTGACATATAAATTCTGTGTAAAGTACAAGACAGTTTCCTTTTAGCCCCTTGTTCTACAGACAACACGGATGTGAACCATTCCTCCCCGTGAAATAGTCTCCCCTGATATTCGCATGTAGAGATCTCACTATTTCCCAGGGTTTTGAAGTTGTATAATATAATAATCTTGTGCAGCTCAGATTACAGCCGTGCTCTGCACCAGGAATTCATTTGCAAAACATCCACAAAAAAAGCATATTCTCCTGGGTACCAAATAAGGCCTGTGGAAACAAGAATCCAAAGGAGGCAACTCCAAAGATAAACTATACTGGGAAGGCTTCTTGCTGTAACCCACCTCTCCAGCTGCTGCAGAAGCCTGATTTGCTTAGTTACATTGCTTAAGGCAAGCGACAGTGTAAAACACAGGCTTTGCTTACGGTATAGATGTTGTCTGACAGTGGACACCATTAGCAGAGAGGAGATAGTCACAGAAAAGCAAGCCAGAAGCTAAGCAGCAGCTAATCACCCGTCACGCGTCAGTACGGTAGCAGTGCACCAGAAGATGCTTCCAGTTCTTGCACTTGCAGCCTCCAGCCTTTGTAGCACATTTGACTGCTCCCCACAACTACTTATCAGCGGAAACAAGGGTCAAGCCTGTTTCCTTCCACTCTAGCACTGAGTATGGAGTTTAACACGTTGGATTTCTGGCTCTTCTTTTTGCAAACTTAATCTTGGGTTCTTTTTGTGTGTGAGATTTTTTTTCATGAACTGAGTATCTGACTTTAAGTTATAATCAAGGCATTGCCTTTTTTTTTCTGGCATGATGCCCCATCTTTTAACTTATGGCCAGGTTGGCTTGCTCTTTATTTTCAGGCTGGAGTGGACTTTTAAACAGATTCTTTATAAATTGTTTTAAATATTTTGATGTTAAATGTCTTGTTTCTCCTTCGTAAGGGATTGTGGCACTCTGCACTTTTTCCCTTGCGCAGGGGGGTGTCAGCACTAGAGGGGAACTGGCTACATGTCTGTCAAATGTGTTCTTAGGCTTAAAGTGTTTGTAGAGGTCTCATGTGCAGACAGATAGTATATGGTGTGGCTCATGACACACACTGGCCCTGTTAGCACTGTGGATGCAAATAGTCCGATGTGTTTCAAGCTCAGGGCAAGTGTAGCATGAATGTTTTTCCTACAGTGTGTCTGTAACAGCCTGCAAAATGACAGAGTGAAAACCCTACCATCAAAATAACTATAGGAAATGTTTTAAAGGTAATGCATGGCAATATAAATCCCATCAACTACCCTCTGTCAGCTGCCTGTGTTCAAGGTCAGGTCTGATACGGTGCAGCTGTGTAATCCCAGATCAGGCTCCTCTGAAAACAGCTATACTGTAAGAAAGAGCTGAAGAAGGAAAAAAGAGCAAAATCTTGGGGGGCAGGAGGGAAGGCTGCAGAAAAGGATTATAGAGAAAGATAACCATCTTGTAACCACAAGCTGGTCAGAGCATGTAGAGCCTGTTGGTGCACCCCAGGCTCTCACACCCCTTCCAACTGAGACACGTCTGCTGGACAAAAGGACACCATGACTTTGGGAATGTGGTTGATGTGGGTAATACATCAGTGAGGATCGGCAGATAGTACTGCAGATCTCACCCATCAGCATGGATAGGTTGGATTTGCCCACCCCAAATGATGCAAAACAACCAGAACTAGTGTAGGGCTGCTATGGCAAAGGCAATCCTCTTTTCAACAGGTAGTGATCACCAGAAGGTAAAATGTCGGCATGGAAAGATGGGTGCTAGTTCTCAGGACAGAATATGAAATTCAGTTGTCCAAATCCTACAGTTTTGTACTTGCTGTTGGTATATGTAATGTAGGACAATGTAATCCTACCTCCAGTTTCCTCAGCCCAAAACCTCCAGTCTGTATGAAAGGGATTAGCTTAAATTGTGAACATCCTGCAAGTAGCTGCCTGAGGGAAGTATTGGGAAATCTCCATTCTCTGCTGGTCAAAAAGCACTAATTACTTTAACATGACATGACCAATTCATTCAAGTAAGAGTTTGCCTAACCCTGCAACAGGCCTCCTCATTGTTGGCTCTCAAGCAGCGCCACAACAGAAGACAGCGCATTTCTAGAATACCCACCAAGTAGTTTAATATGTTAAAGAGAAAAAAATCACCCCCTAGAATTTTCAGTTTGAGAGGTCAATTTCTGGTAATTGAATCTTGTTCTTGGTCCACATACTACAAAGAGCAAACCATTCCCAAGAGAAGAGACGGTATGTTACATCATACAGGTTGTTGTAATACATGGTAACAACACTGTCCATTATAATCTGAACATGATGCCTTTTCAAAAGAAGACCGACGTTTTCACTCTTCTAAAAAATCAGCCACAGTTTGTTAAGCAGTTTGAGTATGCTTTAGCTGTTATGACAGTAGGATTTCCCCTTGTAACTGCTGAACAGATTAGCTATAATGAGAAGGAATAACTCTGCTCCCAAAGAACAGTCACTCAAAAGCTGAGATAGTGCAGAACACGCCATATTCAGCTATGCTTATTGTTCAAACTGAAGAGATTTTGTAAGACTCAGTTCAAGTGCACGCATCAATTGTAACCAACTACAACTCACTCCTATGATTGCTAATCAAAGGAAGGTTTGGGGCTTAATGGGGCCTGCTGCCAATTGTTCTTGGGATTTTTTTTTACCATGAACATACTGTTAACTGTTAAGAGTACCTACCTAGGTTGCTGATCACAGTTAGAGAGAGTAGGAATACAAGATCATTCGTGTCTAGGCACTTAAAATTCAGATGCAAATACAATTAAATGATGGATCTCAGTTACATTATATTACTTGTTGCTTTGGTCAAAATTTTAAAAATATCACTGAAAAAAACCTAAATGCAGACTCAGGAGTCTAGTTTAAAGCTCCTGACTTTGCAAATGTTAGCCATTTAACTAAGCAGTAAGATAAATATTTGCAAGACTTACAGGTTGTTCTGATAATTGTAGAAGAGGAATCACAGTTGAGAGGACTTCAAAATCAGGGAGACAGGTAGGAAAAATGCTAAGTCAAGAAAGTGCCAATAATACTAATGATGATTTAAAAAATAGTCTGCAAATGCTAAAGCCTTTGTTTACTCCACTGAAATTAGGAACATAACTGAGGTGTCTATGTTAGACAACTATGAAACCTGGGATCTCTGTATAGCAAACAAAGAGCAAGAAAGATCCCAAGACAGGTGAGACTTATGAAAAAGTCTGAATCACCTCTGGAGACCCCTCTCCGTCTCTCATTGTTATATAGATAAATTAAGGTAATTTTCTAGGCACTACCTTAGGTTAGATGCCTAAAATTAAGTGAAATTCCCATTCTCAAAAGGATAGATAGTAGGTAGCAAGTAATCAAGATCAAACTCAACAATGTTGAGGGACAGAAGTAGCATATCTGTTTCGGGAATTCAGTAATGATTGCATAATGTTAGCTGCAGTCTAAAGGACTTTTAATCTCTTTGTCTGGAAAAACACTGCTTGTTTAACATAGCCATTTGATACCACAAATAGCAGCAATTCAGCGTTTTCCTCCATGCAAGCCAAAACTAATTATACTGAAGCAGCTAATAATACCCCTGCACAGATTGTTTCAAAGTTTTTTCACTTGAACTGTTTTTTAACTTAAAGCTGGATAGTGAATATCAGGCATCAGGTTGAGAAAGTTTCAGTGTGAAACATGCATTCAGATAAGATTCGACCAAATTAGTCAACATTTAGATGCTGCTGCAATATCGTATGTATTTGTCTTATTTTTCTTTATTCCTAGAACAATACAATCTTAATCTTGAATTTCTTTTCTAAAGCCCCTATGGATTATCTATGAAATTTCAGGCACTCTTAAAGATAAGGTGTATAAATATGAAATTTTGTGCACATTTTAGTAAAACAATTGCTTTCTCAACTCACTTGGAATTTCAGTGTTTAATAGGTTGCTTCAACAGCGAACAGCTTGACCTGAGAATCAATGTTAGGATGCATATGGAATTTAATACTGCATTCTTTGCCCTGGATCAGTAAAATCCTGCTTAAACCTCCTTCTTCAAACCAATTGTGAGGGAGGATGCTTTCAAGGTTATTATGAGTCTTAGATCCTATAAAATTCTGCAAAACAGACTTTTCCTGCATGACTCAGTAAGATCATTTTATAAATGTATTATTCTTCTCGTACATACAGGATCAGAAGTCAATGCAAAGATAGTATATGAAATATAATTCCTTGTCTGTGAGGAGTTTTCAGTCTAATATGTAAATGACTGATTTGGGTTTTTTCTTAACTGTATGCTAGTATACTGTGATCTGAAATAAAAGTACATCAAAACAGACATGGAGCAAACCACAGCTAAAGATTTGTCCCCATAGATTTAGAAAATAAATGTGCTGAAACGATGAAATGCTTGTAAGAATGTCAAGACTAATTTCATTTTATCTTTTGATAGTTTCTTAATTCCAAAGAATAGGAATCCACAGAATTTTTATTCAGGTTTTAGCTTATTTGCTACACATACAGTACTGCTTTAAAACTCTTTCTTGCTCCCCCTGAACCGATTGTATTTGTGGAAACCACTCTGCAAGGCAGAATGCCATCTACAGCGCAGAAGGGATTTTGAAGACACACTGTTCTATGATTCTAGTATTGTCAATGCACTGTGAGTGCAGAAACTTGAAAATCAGTGTTCAGGATTGAGGAAGTACTGTTGTGGTGCACAAGGGGCTATCTTTTTTTTTATTCTGTGTTTGTCAAGAATGGTAAAATGAACTGTGACATCCTTTCAGATGTTTGGCACATTACATCGATGACTTGCCTCCACATGTTATTTTTCTTTTAATTTTCCACTGTTCAAAAAAAGTTTATATTAACATACTCCTGAATTAGCATATTTCTAAAAATATACAGTAGTGCATGTGTAACTTATAATATTCTTCAGTTACACGAGTTTGTACTCAGGAAATGTAAACAATGAGTCATCTTCTTCAATAAATAAAGAACATGGGTCAAATTTTCTCCCCAGGTGATGGCGCCTTTTTGCTGCTTGATATGTCTGAAGAAGCCAGAATTTGACAGTAGCTGCCAAAATGCGAAATCTCCCAATGAAGCCAGAGCAGGAGGAACTCAGATGGTGAAAACTGGTGAAGCCTACACGTTTGCCAATAGCTTCTCTGACATCCCCACAAACACTGCAGCGTGTCAAGAAATGAAAGGGTCAAATTTATTTTTCCCAGTGGCTTGTGATCTCTTATCCAGGTGTTGTAAACTACAGCAACTGATAGACCACTCTAACACATTTTGGGCCAGAATAGTTCCAATCTGAAAATCAGCTGTAGATGTTGGCACCAAAAATAAAAAGTCAATTTCTTTTACAATCTCCATGTTTCTAATTTAACTGAAAATATCTCTCACCAAACTGTTCTATAACTGTTGTATAATCTGAATCTAATATGTTGGTAAATGACATGCAATTGCTTTATACCCTTCTGTCTTTTCAGTTTTGTGTCTAATAGCAGAAAATTTTCCACCCATACTGCTCAGCTTCAGAAGCAGGACAAAGAAATCTTACGTTTTCTCTAAGAATAATTCTCTAAGGTATTTCTCTAAGAATATCAATGGTGTAATAGGGCACCTTTTGAGCAGGACACAAGAGAATCTGTATATTTTTATAAAAATACCTTGAAACTCATTAATGAAAATACTTACTACCCATGTCGTAAAGATACAACCTTAATTACTAAGATTTTATGCAAAAGACCCATACCTACAATTCATCCATTATTATTACCATGTATTAATATAATAGTCAAAGGAAAGACTGCCTTGTTTTATGACAACGGACTAGAAAATGTGTGCTTAATTCCCAGTTTTCTGCCTAACTGTTTAACAAGCTGTTTAAATGCCCAGGTCCTGAAGTTGCCACTCACAAAATCATTAGCATAATCACCCATTTAACAGATGGGCTTTCTAAATAGATGTTCAAACCCTACAGTAGTAATGGTAATATAAGAACTCGTATAAAAAGAACTGTAATGTTAAAATGAAGGAAAAAACAGGAAACATGAAAAAACAGGAAAAATATATATTCTACAGAATATATATTCTGTTCTATAGCACAGTTTTTTAGCATAATTTAAATGTTTATACTATAGTTTCACTACATTTTTCTAACTAATTCTGAAACATTAGCCTTACAGAAGTTCCCTTTGGTTTAGTTCATCCAATGAGAGGGGAAAAAAAGAATTCTATCTTATTAAAATGCTTTCTACAACAGTGATGCAATTTGATGCTCTTTCTGGTTTTAACTGTTTACTTAAGTACTCAGTCATAACCATTAAGCACTGTTCCAGAATCGTGGGGAAACCCAAAATGGAGGAAACTCTGGAATCCCTTTCAGAGCTCTCAAATACACTGGTGAGCGAACCCAATTTCCTCTGGAAAGGGGAGGATTGTGGTTTTCCCAGTTTGATGATGATCACTTTTCTCTGACTACTGTTAGATCATGCTTTCTAGAGGCAGATCCTTACAGCTCATGATTATACTTGTGAACAAGCAGGAATTTGCTTTTAGAAAAAATAACCAATTACTGGCATTTTGAAAAAGTAACTCAGAGGTAGGTAGTTCCTAACTTTCCTCTAACCTCAGCCCTCATTTCAAACTTCACACCGTTACTGCACAATAGTCTCAGCATGATTCTCAGGAATAAGAAACAGACACAGTAAAGAGCCGTCAGAACAAGACTGTTGCCCTATCTGCCTTCATCCTTGGTTCTGAAAAGGTTTTGTTAGATGGAAAGTTAAACTGTTATATTCCTCAGACTCCATCTCTTTATCATTTCACATGTATTTTGTAATTTGGAAACTCTTCTCAGTGTATAAAGAAATTAAAACATTGGCAGACTTTTATTGCCTTACAGTTTGGCATTTCATATTGCTTTTGACGTATGTTTCAAGATACAGTATATATTTGAAGGTTTCTAAAATAGTACCAGATTCTAAAACCTTGGTTTTCTTTAGAAGTTTAGTAGGAGATTAAAATAATCCAAAACATTAACTATTTTTAGATTGCAGTTATAAATACTACTTCAATTTATATATTAAACCAATATAAAATAGTAACAAAAGTTCGCTTTTTAATTAATTTCCTTCTCAGGAAATCAAGTGTGAATTCATATTTTTCCAGTGCAAGAGTGGCTTTTGTTTTTTTGATATCTTAGTAAAAACTGCATTTTCAAAGCTCTCGATTTAAAATCCTAACTAATCATGACATAGAATTAGTCTATTTATGGCTACAAAAGCAAGCCTCGTTCTCATTATGCAGTAAGTACTAGCTGTTTATAGATCTGACAGTTTGTTGGAAGTGTTCCAAACCTATAGTGCTATTATTCCTCACTAAAATTTAAACAGCTGTAGTCATGTAATTCAAAACCCTGGAAGTCTGCTGCAGTGCTTGTTCTACTTCAGTATACCATGAACGCAGGATGCAGCCAGTCATATAAAGGATTCTCTTCTTCACAGAATGAAAGACAGACGTGAGCTACAAACCTGAATGCAGCCTGAAAGGTCCAAATAGATGAGCTTGTGACAGCCTTTTCCAGAGCCCAGGTACAGTAAACCTTTGTCTGTGAATTTTCTGCAGTGAGCTAAACTCAGATACTGTAAATTGGGGAAGCTGCTTTGCAAAAAAAAAAAAACAACACAGAGCAAATTATTACAAGGGTATGTAACAGAATCAAAAGAACATAAAATACCATAGTTAAAGTATTCTGAAAATTAATGTAAAGAAAAGATGTTAGATATAAAATAGAATTATCTCTTTGATGAAGTTTGAAAGTGCCTTTCTTCTGCTGTACTTCTTCCTCTGCTCCTTGTATTGCAAATTACTGGGGAATAGCACTATCATGCAACATATTTCACCATATGAAAACAGTATAATTTTAAAGTTATCTCAAATAACTGCAGAAGCATGCTTTTTTAATTAACTGGGACTTTTGTGTGCATAATTTGAAAGCTAGCAGACTTTTCAGTATAAGTTTGCTGGACTGTCTTTGCCATTGATTTTACAAGCAGTGCCTGTTGGAAATGAAAACCAGAACTCTGTCAAAGGACGTTAAAAGCATAAATGTACAGTTAGAGCTTCTCTGGTCATGCAATTATTTAGAAGAGTACTATTAAAAAAATCTGAAAAATTGAAAGAGATACAAAAGGGAATTATCCAAAAGTGAATCATGTTAGGTTTTGATCAGTTCTTTTGGAAAATATTTATTTATTATAAACATCAGTTAAAAGAAAGCAAACTGTATAAATGGAAAATGTTAATCAACAGCACTCTGTAAAAGCAAGAATCTATACTCTGAATATACTTAAGTTTCCAACTGCAGCTTTGGTTTATAACATACTGAAAACTATTCATTTTACTAAACTACATTTCTAACTGGAAAAAATAACAATAGCCACAAGCACAACAAATGAAAGCATACAGAAAATCGAAACCTAGAATTAGGACCTACTGCTCGGGTAGACATTTACTTGTAGGGATATAGTCATACAGATCTGCAAGTCAGCAAAAGTGGGCATTTTGAAGAAAGACAGGAACCCCCACTGAGGAGCTGACTACTTAAGGAGTTGCATACATTTTTGGAACTGACTTTATATTTTCAATATAGAGTGGGGAAACATGCTAACTTGAACTGAACACACAAAAAAAAGATAGGAAGCTGGAAAAGAATGTTATTGTAAAAAAAAAAAAAATTAAGAAATTAAATATAAGATTACATTTCATGGGGGAAAAAAAGAAAAGACAAACAACGTGCATCAGAACCAGATATTAGAATATAAGAGCACGTGTTTGGGGTACATTTTTTTTAATGGAAACATTTAGTTCATATTAAATACAGAAATATAAGTATCCTTCTTTGTAGAAGCATAAGCCTTTTTGCATTTTAGTGACATATTCCACAGAAATGAGTGGGGAAAATCAAACTCAGAGAGAGTACACTTCCAAACTTATCTGACAAAACAGGTAATAAATTAAGAGACTTTTTTATATTCGAGCAGTTCTGAGTCTTTTTAAAGTATATGTTGCTACAAGGTTGCACAACTTAAGACACAGGGAAGCCTTTCTTACTGCATTTTGATGACTCTGACCAAAATCTTCCAATACTCTTGAAGAGACTGATTTTCTTTACAGGTCATATGACCCATTTTTATGATCCGGGAATTTTAACACATGCCTTCTTCTGCCATTTTTAAAGTGACAGCTTTCTTAAACTTAAGCTTGAGCACACAGACTACTAAAAATCCTTGTTTTGTGTTACAGCTAAATTCTGCAGGAATTCTGTCATACTGGTTTTTCAATTAATTTTGGCATCAGCAATCTCAGGATCATTGTTTTAAAGCAATCTGAAAAATTCACCTTCTGACATTTATTCCTGATAGACAATATTCATGTCTACCATATGCAACAGAACTTTTCAGAGGGAAATTGTAGCTGATTATCTGTGTTGTGTAATACAGAGGTTAAAAATCTTGCATGCAGCAGTAGGAGAGAATCAAAAATGACCAAACCGCTTTGAGCACACTCAGCCTACACTTCATTTGTTCCTTGTTCCAATAACAGACATCTGCTATGCAATAGCAAACTTCACGTGCAGTATTATGGAATGCAATACTGCCACCTCTGAGAACTTTGTATTAGTTACCTTATTACACAGGACCTGTGGTGAGCTAATGCATTTGAGATGGCATGTGCAGTGTTTACGAAATTTGTCTGCTATCAAAGTCTTCACAGGACAACTTTTTGTACATCCCCGTAATCTCAGAAACAATGAGCTTTGTCTTTTGTCCAACAATTGTCAATAAAAACAGTGGTATCTTATGGTTTTAAATCAGAAGCATCATGTGTGACTAGGAAGACTTCTTATTAATGAGGTACAAGCTAACTGCAAAATATATTTTGTCAGTGGAGAATTTTTCTTTTTGTTTTAAACATTTTATTGCATTGAAAGCTTCACCTACTCTGGAGAATTCTTTCTTGGGTAAGTGCTATTTACGCATCAAAAGAAATGAATGATTCTGACTTTTGGTGGCAACAGGATGCTCAAGTAACCAGAATAATATATACTGAGTTTACCTATAGAACAGCTGTTCCAAACTTCGACATAAATATATGGAAATTTAAAAAGACAAAATATCAGCCAACATGGAAAAAACACAGATTATGGTAAGAATAATACTGATGAAGAGATAAGTGGTAAGATTGGAGACGCTAAATGGAAAACTTTGCCAAAACAAATGTTAGTAATACGAGGATATGGCATTATAGACTAAGAAAAACAAAAGTCAAAATGTATTATGCAAATGCCAAAGAAAAACATGTTTCTGGACTTTGTGGTGCTGCTGTTGAAAAGAAGACATTAGTTTTCCTCACGGGAAAGAGAAACCATGTACAGCTATCTTCAAATCTATATACATCCTTGTGATGGCTGCTATCTTGGACCAGCATGCCTCTTTTCCTTTATTTATTTGCTTTTAATGCAGCAATTCTACCTACCAGGCAGACTTCAAGTCTCATGGAGGGATACATCTAAAACAGGAATGGCAGACCTCTGTAAGAATGTAAATTCTCTTCCTTCAGCTCACTGATCTTCCAAATAGGAGTTTGGAATAACCCGCTCTTTTGCAGTTGTCACACAAGGACTTGGCTCACACAATACACCTATCCACAATCCTCTCTTGAAAAACAAATTTTTAAGAACATAACTAACTTGAAAACTTCTTGCATCATCATGAGTAACTGGACATGCCCAAGAAATTTTTGGCTAGCATGTTCTTTCAAAAGTTTCTGTAAAATACTGTGAAATATAGAATTATAGAATCATTAAGGTTGGA